AAGCAATCACAAAAGCTATCTTATTCACAGTTAGCCCAAAAAGCTTGATAAAGAGAGATTTCTAAACTCCTTATCCAGAAGCAAACTTCTCCTCCTTCCAAAAAGCTATAGTGTAAACACTTGAAGGTTTCCTTGCCTCAAGCACCACACCACGTTGAAGGATATTACTTTTGATCAAACTTATTGATTAAAAGGGGGTAGGTCAACTCTCTTACAAGTTGATCTTGCAAGTCCTATTGTTCGGATCTTGCAGTTGTTGAAGAAGCTTGACCTTCGAAGGAACAACAAAGCCAGCACGAGTGCAGTAGCAACATTGGTCTTGTGAAGATATACCGTGCAGAAATTCACACAAGTGTAACTATTGGTTCATTATTCAACAACCAACTACATAGTGGATTTTGAGGACGTAGAAGGATTACCCCACCTTCGAACCTCGTTAAAGTTTGCGTCTCTCTCTCTTATCTTTATTCTTACTTGCAATTATATTAACTGTGAAAACTAACCTATCCATATTAATTACTGCTCACTCCACCCACCAAATTCCACACACAATCTAAAGTTCACAAGGACTCTAGATTAACACTCATTTTCTCGTTTTCAAAAGAAACGAAAAAGATTTTAAACTTGTAACAAAGTCTATTCACCCCCCTCTAGACTTTGTATTTCACCACTTTGGGACCACCACCCTCCCCAGACCCTACTCTTGTGGGATTTAACTGTGTTGTTGTTGTTGTTGTTTATTCGGTTCGGTTCGGTTTTTCAAAGTAAAAACCAAAATGAAACCAAACAATAACGGTTCGGTTCGGTTTTTTTACATTCGGTTTCGGTTTTTTCGGTTCGTTTTTTTTCTAGCTCATTTCGATGGATTTCGGTTCGGTTTTCGGTTTTCGGTTTTCCGGACCCAACCCTACTCATCACCTAGAAGGCTAGAACAGTAGAACCTAGGGATGGCAACGGGTCGGGTTCGGGTCGGATAGTACTATACCCGAACCCGACCCGACTTTAAAAACCGAAACCCGAACCCGACCCGAAACCCGACTTTTTAAGCTAAAACCCGAACCCGACCCGAACCCGATATTCCAACCAGAAACCCGAACCCGACTTTTAACTAATAATCAATTCGGCGTACCCTAATAATTTTAAAAAGATTACATCTAATTTTTTTTTATGTCTCATTTTTTTTATTAAGAAATTATAAAAATGATTATAAAAGGTATACTTGATATAGTAGCACTTTGTCAAGAGATTATACGGAGTGCTCATTATATCTATAGGCTTTTATGTTATAAAATATTTGGGTTTGAGTCGGGTCGGGTCGGGTCGGGTAAAATAATAAACCCACACCCGACCCGACCCGACTCGATGTCGGGTTCGAGTAAAAAATTTCGGGTCGGGTTCGGATTATTTTATTTTCAGTTCGGGTTCGGATATTTTAGTGATCGGTCGGGTCGGTTAAACTCGGGTTCGGGTTGAATTGCCATGCCTACTAGAACCCCACTCGTTTTCAACTGTCAATCCATTTAAAGTCCAACGCGTCAGCTGTACAGATCTCTATGTTTACCTGCTAGATTTGGGCGCGTTATTTGGTCGATCAGGCTTTTCTTTTCCATTCATTCCCTCTTCTGGAATTGTGGTATTTTTTTTAGGTTTTGAAGGTGGGAATATGGCTCAGTTTTTGCTTCACGGGACCCTCCACGTGACGATCTTCGAGATCGATCAGCTTCACGGTGAAGGGGGCGGTGGACGGAACATCTTCAGCAAGGTGTGGATATGATCGTGGTTCCTTTTTCTGACTCATTTCCCTTATACTAAACTGTTCTATTATTGCTTATTACTAGAATTCCCATATTTGTCAACTCATGTTTTAAAAGGTTGTCCCAACTTCCAAAAGTTTTCTTCTTCTTCTTCATTTCACTATTGGTTCTACTTCTCTTTTTCTGCATCCGAGATTTTGTCTCATTTTACAAGCAGGATACATCACAATGACTCGTTATTTTGTCATGTTTTTTTAATTTGCTCAATTTTTATAGCTTTGTACAAGAAAAATTTTGTTTCAATTTTTTCAGATGTAGAGCTCCATCGTGTTTTTTATAATGTTCTGTAGGACTGAGCAAAGAACAGCTGCTCCCGAAATTCCCCACAAAACATGATCAAACTTGACCAATATTTACCAAATCGTGAAGAATGCTCAAAAAACAGATCTGAACTAAACCAAATGGCCAATTCTGGATTTGAGAGACTGAACTAAGCCAAACAGATCTGAAATATACCAAAATCCCGATTCGCTCATATATATTAATATGGAGTATATATTATACTTAAATATCGATTTTAGATCCCACTGCTATTTGTTTATCAGGTTTTTAGTTTACTACATTTTCATAAATTGGTTTTCTAATGTTCTAAGTTTGTATTGGTATAACATTAATGCAGATTAATTTTTCTTTTTGAAGTTTTAAATTGTCTAATAAATTACTTAATTTAAAACAAAGGAGTGATTCAGACCAATCCTCTTAATAATTTGTGATTTCACAAGAATATTCCAAGAAAAAGAATGTACATCATTGCTCTAACAAAAACAACAAACCTTGTATAATCCCAACTTTATTGGGGTCTGGGTTAAGATACCCTCGTAAAATCAGAGATGTTGTCGTTTCTATTAATCCTTTGATGCATTGCTAGATTTACTATCCAAAGCATTTTAGAAAGTAAGAAGCAAAGGGAAGTAGAGTTTACAATGAACCTAGTAAGGTCCCATAGAAGTTGGGTTTGGGAAGGGTGTGTGTACGTAGACCTTGCACCCATTTGAAAGTAGAGAGATAGTTTGGATAAATAAAAAATGTAATGTAAATAAATATTAAAAAACAAAAATGTAAAAGAGTGAATGGAGTACCTCACACCAAGTAAGAGTAAGAACACAAAAGACAAGAAAAAACACACCGAGACACTAGCAGTGAGCCCCAAAGCATAGAAAATCGACAAGAACTAACCACAAGTTGAGGCAAAAACACAATAACTAAAATAACAAACGAGGGGCCAAAAGTCTACCCAACAGCCCAACTACTATAGTCCTAGTTCTCTGTATGCCTCTATCTAAGGTAATATTGTGAAATAATATTCTTAGGCCGAATTCAACTCCAAAAGTTAACTCAAGAGGTTGAGACACCCAAATTATTATAAACACCATAATATTGGTGTACACGGTCCATTCGGGATGAGTATAACTCAACACGCCCCCCTCACACGAGGCACAAATTACTGCGGGCGCGGTCTCTTCATCAATGACCTTAGCTCAAGTGTCATGTGAAATAATAGACTTGGGCCCAATTCAACGCCAAAAGTTAACTCAAGAGGTTGAGACACCCAAATCATTATAAGCACCATAATATTGGTATACACGGCCGATGTGGGATGAGTATAACTCAACAAATATCCTTGGCATAATCCAAAAGTTGAAGGTCATGTTTAATAACCTCATTCCGGTTCTTCCTGAGTCTACTCCTTCCCCTTCTCACGCCCACGACCTCAAGTCTTTCACACCTGAAGTTAATACACTCCATGACATGCTGATTAAAATGAAGACTCGTTTATATGTCTATTTAAGTATTAAGTCATGCAAAAACATTTCAAAAATTATGTTTGCAATTTTATAGTTGCAGCTTTGCCTCTGGCAATTCTTGAAGTATTTTCATTAACTATATTACTTTCTTGTAGCAATTCTGTAATTTTTTTGGAGGTTTCTTGTGAAGTCACAAACACATATCTAGGAGTGTTGACATAAATTTCTCCCAAGACAAATGAGTTATACATTTTCAACTTTCAAATTATCAAAAGCTCTTTTGAGATTTTCACTACATTTAATTATTCTAACTTAAAATGAAGATACTTTCTGAATTTTGTTTTTTTATTTTACTGTTTTCTGTTATTTTAAAAAGGATTCATGTGCAATTTTTCCAATAACATTAAAAGTTTTTTTTAATGTAGAGTAGATGGATCATCAGGTATAGTGCCTGAACCAATACCAATTTATCTAGAACCTACTAATGAAAATCTCATAGCGAACCTAAATAGCAGGCAGTATTGTAGCGATACAAGCCAAATCCATTCACTACCTATACCATGTTTGCCTCTATTGTTTTGGTTGAACTACAATAGAATTTCAGTTTGGAGCAACTTGGAAGTTGGAATACTGTTTTAGTCTAAGTGCATGATTCAAATATGTGCTCTGTTTTATGGAATACTCTCAATATGAGATTTTCTCTAATTTTCCAGAAAATGTTCTTTAGTAACCGGTAATAATTTATGAATGGTACATGTTTTGATACAATAAATCAGCGTATGCTACTCCCCAAAATCTTAATTTTGAAAAATGGATTTCTACTATCAATAATACAATTTATTTTGTGGGTGGGGGTGGGAGAGGGGGGGGGGGTTCATGATTTGAGGCAACCACATATAGGCCTTGAATAATGTTCTTGTTTTTTTAGTTTTACGTTTGTGAAAGAAGTTTTAAAAAGCTAAACGCATTAAATTTGATTCATAAGTTCCATGAAGGATAGAAGAGGAAGAATGTGGATCAGAAAAGGCAGGGTTTGGAGTATGGTGTTTGAAGTATGTGTGGGGTGAGAGGAGGCGAGTGGCTTTTAGTGGATAAAATATGAAAACTGGGAAAGGAAAAAGCCTCCTATTGATTGACTATAAAAACAAGTCATATTTTAATATCATTGTTAATTGTAAAAAGAAGTAACAGGTACTAGAAATTCATTGAAAACAATTTATACGAAATGCAAACACTTCGGTGGAAAACGGATTAAACAAATTATTTCCTAACCTTTCACCAATCTGGTTGATTTTGGTTTTTAAGTTTTTCTCTAGCAGTGAAGGTTCTTTTTCAACTTGTGCATCTCCTCCATTCAAATAAAAAATTATGTTATTCTCTCTAGAAAGAGGAACTTGGTGCTCCTTTCATGTCTTCTGACTTGCGGAAACCTGGCCATGCAGATTATGGAACATGTTGAGGAGGCTGTCCATCTTGGTAAGGGAACACCTAAAATCTATGCTACTATAGATCTTGAAAAAGCAAGGGTTGGGAGAACAAGGTTGCTTGAAGAACCCAACAACCCTCAATGGAATGAATCTTTTCATATTTACTGTGCCCACATGGCTTCAAATGTTGTATTCACAGTCAAAGATGACAATCCAGTCGGTGCGACCTTAATTGGAAGAGCTTATGTTCCAGTTGAAGAGCTCTTGGAGGGGGATGAAATCGACAAGTGGGTTGAGATCCTAGATAAAGACAAGAATCCTATCAGTGAAGGTTCCAAGATCCATGTAAAGCTGCAGTTTTTTGATGTCAATATGGACCGTAACTGGGGACAGGGACTTAGAAGTGGCAAACATCCTGGTGTTCCGTACACCTTCTTTGCACAGAGAAAAGGATGTCGGGTTTCATTGTACCAAGATGCACATATCCCTGACGGGTTTATACCCAGAATCCCTCTCTCAGGAGGCAAGTATTATGAGCCACATAGATGTTGGGAGGATATCTTTGATGCTATTAATAACGCAAAGCACTTGATATACATTACTGGCTGGTCTGTATATACTGAAATTTCTCTTGTAAGAGACTCAAGGAGGCCTAAACCTGGTGGAGACATTATGCTTGGAGAGTTGCTTAAGAAGAAGGCAAGTGAGGGTGTCAGAGTTTGTATGCTTGTTTGGGATGACAGAACCTCTGTAGGGCTTCTGAAGAAAGATGGGTTGATGGCCACTCACGATGAAGAAACTGAACGCTTCTTCAAAGATTCCGATGTTCATTGTGTCCTATGCCCTCGGAATCCTGATGATGGAGGAAGCTTTGTGCAGGATTTACAAATCTCTACAATGTTCACTCATCACCAAAAGATTGCAGTGGTGGACCATGAAATGCCCAGTGAACGGTCACAGCAGAAGAGGATTGTGAGCTTTGTTGGTGGTATTGATCTCTGCGATGGTCGATATGATACACCATTCCATTCTCTTTTTAGAATACTAGATTCTGCACATCATGATGACTTCCATCAACCCAATTTTGCTGATGCTTCAATTACAAAAGGTGGCCCACGTGAACCATGGCATGACATTCACTCCCGGCTTGAAGGACCTATTGCTTGGGATGTTCTTTATAATTTTGAGCAGAGATGGAGGAAGCAAGGTGGGAAGGATGTACTAGTCAACCTTAGAGAGCTTGATGAAATTATCATTCCACCATCACCTGTGACCTTCCCAGATGACGAGGAAACATGGAATGTTCAGCTATTCAGGTCTATTGATGGTGGTGCTGTTTTAGGATTTCCTGATAGCCCTGAGGAAGCAGCAAAGGCTGGTCTTGTCAGTGGGAAGGATAACATTATCGACAGAAGCATCCAAGATGCATATATTAATGCTATTCGCCGAGCAAAGAAATTTGTTTATATTGAAAACCAGTATTTTCTGGGAAGCTGTTTTGGTTGGGATGCTGGTGATATCAAGATTGAGGACGTGGGTGCACTGCACCTTGTTGCTAAAGAGCTTTCATTGAAAATTGCCAGTAAGATTGAAGCTGGGGAAAGGTTTACGGTGTACATAGTTGTCCCAATGTGGCCTGAAGGGATCCCAGAGAGTGCATCGGTTCAAGCAATACTGGACTGGCAGAGGAGGACAATGACTATGATGTATAAAGATGTGATTCAAGCTATGAGAGCCAAGGGAATTGAAGAGGACCCCAGGACATACTTGACATTCTTTTGTGTTGGCAATCGGGAGGTGAAGAAAAGTGGAGAATATGAACCTTCTGAAACGCCCGACCCTGATACTGACTACATGAGAGCTCAGGAGGCTCGGCGTTTCATGATCTATGTGCATGCCAAAATGATGATAGGTGAGTATGAGCTTCCCTTGTCATACGATCCCAGCTGTTTTTGATGTTCGTAGTTTTGGATTAAAATTAAATACTCCGTAATATCAAGTGATTGTTTGTTGGAAAGATGATTGTGACTAGGAAGTTGAGAGAATAATATACCAATGCGGAGTAGATAGTACTCAACTACAAAAAATAAGACAATGACAGGTTTTTTTTGCTGTTACAGTTGATGATGAGTACATAATTGTTGGATCTGCCAACATCAACCAGAGGTCAATGGACGGAGCAAGAGATTCTGAGATAGCCATGGGCGCCTACCAACCTTATCATTTAGCAGCAAGGCAACCGGCAAGGGGTCAGATTCATGGTTTCAGAATGGCATTATGGTATGAGCACCTTGGCATGCTTGATGAAGCCTTCCTCCATCCTGAAAGTGAGGAATGCGTCAGGAAGGTGAATGACATAGCCGACAAATACTGGGATATCTACTCGAGTGAGGGTCCCCCAGAACAAGACCTTCCTGGTCACTTGCTGCGCTACCCGGTTGGTGTAGGCAATGATGGTGAGGTGACTGAGCTTCCAGGATTTGAGTTCTTCCCCGACACCAAAGCTCGTGTTCTTGGCAGCAAGTCTGACTATCTTCCCCCAATCCTCACTACTTAAATTCTCTCTCGTAATTGAAGATCCCTTCAAAAAACCTACTCCCTATAGTTTGAATAAACTGCACTTTCTGAGTGTGCATGATCCGTTTGTTTGTTTGTTTTTGTGGTTTGGTGTAGAGCAGGATTGATTTGTGAGGTAGTGTTTTAAACGCCGAAGAAAATCTTCACTACTCTATACTAGTAACGATGCTTTAGTAGGAAAAGGGCATTCATGTGTTGATCTTACTGTTGAAATCATATGTAATTGTTTTCATGAATGATTGCTAGTACCAAAACCGACCCTGATTTCTGTCAATATGCCTGATAATCCGATATTTCAATTCAGAGTAAATTTCGCAAAAGGTTCTAGCATGTTCATGATTTACTGTATATTTTTTTTTTTAAGTCAGGCCAAATCAAATTAGACTCGTTCAAATCTAACCATATCAGATTCAGATTCGATCAAACCAGAAAAATGTTAGGATCAAAACTAGGCTAGAGCCAGATTTTGTAATAATAATAGTGTTGATTTATACCTTTAGGCTTTATCCAATTCATGTTTTCCTCTACTGTAATGACATAATGCAATGACATGATTATTGAACTTCTCATTTCTTGCTTTCCAATGATATAGCAAGCAGCAACCGAAGAAGCACTCAAGCCTTGTTTCGTACTCTTTAGTTTTATAATCCTCAATTTGGATTCCATATCTGCAACAAACACAGAGCACCTTAATGTCATGTCCTATCCAAATAGCCATGCTATTGTGAATAGCTTTTATATAAAGACATTTCAGGAACGGATGTAGCCAGTGAGCATTGTGCAGTTGGTAAAGGCATGGAGTGTCACGAGTAAAGCCGAGTTTGATTCCTGGCAACTGCGCTTGGAAGCAACTATACTAATTCTAAAGCCTCTTCAAGTACCAAGTGCGGACTCCGCCCCTATCATTGATCTGTGATTAAAGACCAATTTATCTCTTTTCAGTAATTGTCTGGCCGGGTTTGAGAGGACCCTCGGAGATGAGGCTCATCTTTTTTTTGAAGAACGGATGTTGAAATACACGCCTAACAAAAATACAAAAACATGTGCCAATTTTTAACATCCTCTCACCAACACTTTGTAATAAATTGAAATTTATATATTTTGCTTCCTTATAACACAAGGGCTTATTTTGTTCGTGTCATGCCAAGCCCTTGATTTCTAGGGGACGACCTGAGAGTGAGACTTGAGTTATGTCTGTTGGACATGAATTCAAACCCTTTTGGGTATTTTGTATGTTGCAATTTTTAAGTTTTGATAAATGACAAACACATTGACAAAAGAGCTTTTATTTCTTAACCAAGAAAGCAGAGAAGCATATCAAAAAATACAAGTTGTTCGATCAGCGTTCAATCTCTACGTATTTGTAGAAGAGAAGTGAAGATTTTCGAGACTTTTTTATTTTACTTGAGTCGTAGGAAATATTGTAAGGATGAAAAAATATTTTCACTCAAAACAAACTTTTTAGGGTAATAGATAAAAATATTTTTTATTTGAGTGGGTTTAAAAATAGAATTTCTCTGTCCAAAAACATCTCTTTTGAATTAGTAACAAAAAGTGTGCCAAAATTTTCTTTAATACTCCCTCCGTCCTAAAACTATCTTCCCATCTCTCCTTTTTCACCGTCCTAAAATTATCTTCCCACTTCTTAAAAAAAGATGTAAATAGACTATGTTACCCCTCTAGCTTCCTCCGTCTTTCGTCTCTCTTCTTTCTCCCTCTTACTCGTCTCTCCTTCCTCTCGCTTCCTCCATCTCTCTTCCTCTCATGCCCAGGTATTCTTCATCTTTCCTCCATCTCTCTGAAAAATCAATATATCTAATCCTCTCCTTCTCTCTTCACTCTCCTTCTTTCTTCGCCTCCTCAAATCAAATCTAAAACAAAATGTGTTGGAGTTGTGCCCTGATGGCCAACTGTTTATCTTTATTCTATCATGTATATGCAGATATAATATGTTTACACATCTCATGTTAATGTAAACAAATATTATATTCCTAGATTTATATTTAAAGATGTTTATCAGATAGTGTTTTTCTGCTGATGAGACTAACATCTTGAAATAAATATTTATCTGAATGTCCATAGTCGAGTATTAACGAGAGTAGGATATCATTAATGCATGTGAGACTAGTGTGTGTTGGATGTTTGACTTAGTCTCATAGTCACTAATGGTGTTTTCACACCCGCACATGGGCAGATATTATCTGGAGATAATAGGATGTCGGGCTGACCCATTCTAAAGATGTTGCTTGAACTTTTACTTCATGCTCTAAGCATTTTTAGTGCGACCACGGGTGTAACTATTGTTCGACTTGAGGTATTACGTTTTCTGCATATGTGAACCCGCATGCTTCGATGCATTGTCCTAATCCATATGAAATAAGGATGGTATACAGGCTTTGTTTTGGGTATGCCGCAGCGCGTATTTAGAAACGTAGAT